TCATTTCACGAAACTCGTTTCGCGAGTCAAGTTGCGCCAGAAAAATGCATCGTGTGAAAGGGCCTTTAAACAACACACAATGGTTGCACTATACTTGAGTCTGCCCGAAAAGAGCTGGATTGTCTTCTGCTTCCCCATAGTACCCTCAACTTTTGAGTATTCGCCAGATTGAGCGAAAAGTTCGTACTTTGTGATTGGTTTTTCACTGATGTAATATTTGTTGTTCGAGAGCGTCGGGATTTTGTACAAAAACCAGCCCCAAAACGTCTTGGACCCATTATAACGACCTCTTCCACGACGGGAAACCCGTTGGTGCCAGAGCCGGGACTGAGCGGGACGGGGGAAACGCCGGCTGCGTCAATGGCGGCCGATCTCCCGCAGACGGGTGGACGGATGGGAGTATTTTCAACTCCCATTTCGTCTTGCGGAGGGTTGTCATACAAGAACTCCAGTTTAAAATGGGAGTGAAATCAGGTGTTGTCGCTTTTATACCTCGTTTCTTAGCGACCAGAGTAAAGTGGTGGTTTCTAGTTTTTATACTCCCATGTGCGGGAGTGAATGCTTTAGGCTTGGGAGTTTAATCGGTATCTTATTCTTTAAAACCCCCATCCGGGCTACTTTTCGTTTACAGTGTGCCCAAAAGGCCAGTTTCTTACACTCCAGGAGCTTGATATTCCGGAGGATGAAGAAATTGTGCTTGCAACATGGGAGTCCGGCAACCTTGTGAAAAAAACTTTGGAACCTGAGACTTTCCTAAAAGTCATCCAAGTGACGGTTGGAAGTTGGGTACTTCACAACCATATCCGGCAAACGCAAGGTAAAGCGATCTACGATGAATGCAACGCGGGAGCATTGTCTTTCATTTTGACTTTGCTGAAAACTGGACCATCGTGCTTCCTGACGAAGTGCAAGCATATCACTGGAAAAAAAAACAAGTTTCGATATTTACATGTGTAGTGACGACAAGAAAATCTACAAACAGCTTTGCCATCATCAGTGAGGACCTGTGTCACGACGCCGCTCACGCTTGCTTGGCTCTAGAAAAAGTGAAGGAGTGGGTTGAAGACAACGTTGCGGTATACTCGTACGTGACGTACGTAAGTGACGGCGCCGCCAGTCATTTCAAGAATCGCTACCAGCTTCACCAATTTGCAAAGGACGATTGCCCACAAGCCCAGTGGTTATTTTCTGCATCTGGACATGGGAAAAATGCATGTGACGGAGTTGGCGGACTCGTGAAGCACCAGGCCACGTTGAACAACCTGAGAGAACGTTCAGTAAGCGCAATTCAGACGGCCAGGACAATGGTGAGCGTTCTATCAAAGAAACTTAAAGGCGTGCATCTTGTATATCTGGACGAAAATGAGGTTGTTCGGTATCGTGAACAAAAAAAAAGAAGAGTGGCTGACGGTGCGCGCCTTCCCTGGCATTCAGTCTTGGCACGCGTGGCGGCTCAGCAAGTCATCAACAGAAGGGACCTGTGACGTATATGTAGCACGGACAGTCGGAGCTGCTTGGAAGCAACTTTATTAAATGGGTACAGCGAGGAAAACCTTAGCGTAAAGTGCCGAATTTGATTTCCCAAGGACTGCTCATTTTGAATGCAGGGACATCTTATTTATCACATTTTTCTTCACGGGGTATTTAACCTACTGTTTTTGTTGGTGGTTACTAATAATTTTTATCTGATCACTATAAAAAAAATCCCAAAATGTTATCCTCGAGCAGGATAAAATATATCGGCTTGCCACGATTCATTCATACACCGAGAGCATCGAAGCTGCTCCAGTTAGGCACTATGGCATCCGTCACCTGAAATTGTTTGTAATCGTAAATACACAGCCAACCTAAATATCTTACTATTATATCTTTGTTTTTGTGTGTGGAAGTAAAGTTATTTATTTTACTCTAGATGTAAAATATACCGGAAGGTACAACTTCACACTGCATCATCTTTTCTCAAATCATTAGTCTCTAATATGATACAACTTTGTACGCTTATGTAAAATGCTGTATATAGTTTCTCCTCCCTTTTACTGTGTGACCGATCACTCTTTTTATCAATGACCTCATCTGAATAAATGTATATAAAAGATTTGTGCAAGTTTCATGAAACTGGAACTCAGAGTCACTTCTTGTATAGGACACTGCTAAGTGTAGGCTTTGAAAAAGGACCCTACATTGGGGAGTTGTTTCTTCTTTCACAGTGCAATGATGCAACATGTTTTTAATAGAAATGAATGCCGAAATAGAGTATAACAGGGTACCCAAATTTAAAAAAAAATCGAAGGTGGTGTCTTTTTTATTCGCATTGGAATTTTTCTTTGTTTGATTTTTTTCCCATGTTTGTCCAAATATATTGTAACTAGTGTGTCGCTCAGATACCTCATTTATTTTTTCAATAATAGCCGTATATTAGTAAAATAATGTCTGCAAGTTATGTAATAATGATTAAATTATTTCATGAGATACAGATTTCCAAAGTTTGCCATTTGTCGTTCGAGCAGGCATGTTTGGCAATTTTTAGAAAACTAAATAAATTTTTAATAAATATTATTACTCTATATTACAAGCAAGGTGTACCCATAGTTTGTTTGTAAAAAGTTTAAAAATTCTCCTAATTTTATTGTTTTAATTATTCACTTTCCAACTTGCCCCCTCCATCAGTGCGCGTTATTGCAACTGTCCACCTCTCCCTGCCTTACGATTTTTCTTGTCTCCAAATTTTTTTTCTGGTCAAAACTAAGTGTGGATTCGTTTAAACCAGACACTAGACAATGTCATATAAAAACATCAGTTGATTTAAAAATGTCGACCAGCCACCCTTTGGTCGATCTTATCTGAAATCACCCATTGATAAAATTGGAGGACGATCATGGGGCGTGATGCGTTTAGACAGCGCTAGCTGTGCTTCTTATTCGACGATATGGCTATGACGATCGTCATATCGTGGCCCAATGTTTGCGCCAAGTTTAGCGGGGAAACTGAATTGAAGGATGGGCCACATGACGTAATTTTTTTTTCCCGCTAAATAATGAGGGGAAACTGAATTTGTTTACGCTCACGCGGCCGCCAAAACCGGGGGTACAAACCCGTAACAATTGTCGCTGTAAAAAATTAAAAAAAAGTTTTAAGAGTGGAGGTGTGCGAATATATGTTCGAATCAAACAGCGGACTGTCATAGCTTTGACTGCCAAGAAACCCGAGTGTTGTGACTTCTCTTTCCACTGTGAAGGTTATGAATGAGATGACTCGGTGCTATTCGATTGGAACTGGTATTTGCACACCCCTACGGCTAATACTGAGTTTCCGTAGCGTCATGAGCCGGCTGGGCGCGAGGCCCGTTTGACTGAGCGGATCGTAGAGGACGTGGGGCTCGCCACTAGGAATGCTTTATCATCTCTTGGGGTTGAGACGACCCCCTTTAACGTTGCTAGAAGCGTGCGTAGTGTTCCTTACATGACGCCCTAACGCGTTCTTTTGCTTATTATTTTCAGACTGCGTCGCTGGACCTTTTGCGCGGACAAGAGCGAGCGGCCGATCCCTGACCGACCGGGTGAGTGGGGTTCCTTTCGTCGTAGAATAGCTGTACGGTTTGACTCCCGTTTAGAAACAACGGGGACATATTGTTGCTGCAGCGGCGATCATGACGCGGTATTGGTGATTAGTATGTAAATTAGACGCGCCCTTGACAGGTTTCTGAAGACTCGACTCAACGGGATGGATACGCTGCGAAAAGCAACCTATTTTTTCCCGCGGTGTCCGCTGTGTGCGGGGTGTGAGAACAGTGCCTGTTTCACCGTGGGCAAAGTGAGCGTACCGCCGGGGTTGAAGTTCGTCGGTTGTTCTCTGTTCACTCTAGGCACTGCGCTCGTATCTTTCTTAAGAGTCGACACCGCCGAGCAGTTGTAACTCGTCGCTAGAGTAACTGGCCAATTGTCACTTTCCCGGAAATGAGAAATTCCACAACATCGATGGGAAGATACGTCAGCGAATCGAAGCGCTCTACTGGCTATTGTAACGGCACCGACGGCGCTCTTGGCGCTAGATAATTTGAACAGCTTGCACCGAGCGTGTCGCCGAGCGATAGTCGCGGTCAGAAAGCGACCGGTTTGGACCAGTCGCTCGCTGACCGATTTCGGCCCGGTCACCGTGTCAGTGGCTGAGTCAATCAGCGGCTCTTGGAAAGTGACGCGTCGCGCAATTTTTTTACAACCTGCTATCCGGCATTTTGTTTTTCGGGAGATGCAAGCAACATGTCCGGAGCATAGCTGCCACGGAGACCTTCACAGAAAGACTGATTGATGAACGCTATTAAAGTGTACCCAACACGCACCACCCAAATTTACCGAAAAGGACTTGAGATGCAGCAGATCTCTCTCAATCTTGGCTCAGATCTCTCTTAATCTTGGCTTGACCAATACGGTGCAGTGATTGGTTGTGCTTTAATTTTACGGTGTCACAAAATTCGAGCCAAATTTTTTTTCTTGTTGGCGCAAAAGGTGTTGGCAGAGAATAATACGATTGTGTAGCTATGGCAGCCCGAAAATGGGAAAATAGCGAAACGCGTGCCTATCCTGGCGGGAAGGGAGGGATCGACGACGGCTCCCGGGTGTTTCGAAAGCCGATTCGCCGATCGCGCGCTCGGACGATTCATGCTCATATTACATAGGCTTGTATGCTTTGGCCACACGTAAGTGATCGTACGGATTCTTCTTCTCTCCAAGGAGGGTTGAAAAATCGGCGCGGTTTGAACTGAACAAATACTCGAAGCAAAAACTGCACAAGGTTCATACTCACTCTTCGAGTTCCAGGCGAAATTTGAACGACTGAGTTTGAACTACTACTTTTAGCGTACAGGTGCTACTAAATAAACTGCTCCAACATAAGAAAACGGAAACTTTATTCATCTCTTCTGTTGGTAACGTCGGCAAACACGCGTGCAGTCAGCTGCCTTATTTCCAATTACGTGTGTGCCCATGTAGTTGACTTCAGTGATTTTGTATGCGTAGAAAGGTTTAGGGGATCCATTCCGTATATCTGGAATGTTTCCTTTATAAATGTATTGAATGACTCTTCTTTCGCCTCATACTGTCTTCCTTCGAAAGATGTGCCTCGCTGTCGGAAAAAAAAAAAAAAAAAGAGTACATAAGAAATAGTTCTTACGACAAAACTACATGCACTCACAGTTATGCGCTCGTAGCATTGGGGTTAGGAAGCGTTTGTTGCGCATCGCAGATCTTAAAATCAATGTTTTGAGCGATTTGTCAGGCAACCTTCTAAAAGGCACTCCGAGTTTCAGACTTTTTTTCTTATCTACACCATGACGGATAATGGGCAGCTTGCGCTGTTCTTTATTCACACAAATCATTCTGCCTTCCCCTGCGTCGAAGGTTGAGCGATAACATTTTTATTCGGGAGTTTCGGAATAGCGAACCGAATTTTAGTTCACGTTATGGACGGTAGGGAGAGCGGGCGTTAGCAGAGATAGAGTTTCAGAACAACGCATCTTTGCACCGCAACTCAAAAGGCAAGCATGTCGCGTTTGCTGCGCCCCCAAGATGTATTCACGGCTTGTACTGTACACTGCTCCCCAAACTTAACGTCGCCATGAGAGGATTCGTTTCTGGAACTTTTCGCGCTATTCCCGGGTTTACCGCTCAACCTATCATGGGGAAGTGTTGACTCCCCGATCACACGTTTGCCTGAGGGGATGGTTTTATCTGCTACAGTGACTAATTTAGCACTGAGTAGCCGGCGATAAATTAATATTTGGGTAATCGATTGGCGGCATAGCAGTGCACATACAAAAACGACAGCTGAAAAAAAGAAGCTTTCCCCGTTGTTTTGAGAAACATTATTTTATATCCGCAGTGTACATATATTTGCTCGGTCTGAAAACCAAACAAATCAAAGTTATAGAAGTGCTAGGGTGCAGGCAGACTAGCTAGGGGACAGCGAACGACTGTGTTTGAGGCATTGCCCCAATCACACACAGTTGCGTGTATGTTTATCTTCGTGCTCTTCTTCAGTGTCAAGCTTTAATTACGTTGTAGTATGACGGTGGTATCGTAAGGGCTTTCCAGATTGGTAGGTACAACGAATTATTTTAAATATACTAGATTCAGTTACACTAAATTATTTTTTCGAATTTGGGGTGGTAACGAAAGAAACAGGGGCGGCGGATAATGTTGTTCGCAAAACCGTGTTGATATCTGCATATCACTAGACCAAACGCTTCAAAACGCATGTGAAACAAACATATATACGGATCCGGCACAAAAATCGTCACTTTGTTCGTGCCCAGCTTTACGACCTCCTATAAAATTCTGTCCAAGTAAAAAAAAAAAAAAATATTTGTTTGTTATGTTTGCTTACCTTCCACATCCTCAATGACAGGCGGTTCACCATCGATTTCTGTAATTGAAGAGTAATAATAAAATACGTTGCAGATGGAAACCTTGTTGAATAAACATGAGCCCATATACATGGACACCAGGTACGTAGCCAGGGGGGGGGGGGGGGGGGGGGAAAGAGAGGGGAGCGGAGGGGGTGGCGGCGGCGGCGGCATGGGGCCCGGCCGAAATCTTTAATTTTGCCGGGGCCTTCTCTCCCCCCTCCTCCTGATACAGAATTTTCTCACGGGCAACACCCCCCCCCCCCCCCCCCCCCCCCCCCATTCAAAATCCTGGCTACGTGCGTGATGTGTACACAATGATCGATGCCATGAACTTTCAGCTGCGATTGGCAAAAGCGCCACCGAGCCACGTCAAAAAAAAAAAAAGTGATTTTCGTTTGTTTTATTATTTGCTTACCTTCAACATCATCAATGAAAGGTGGTTCACTGTCGGTTTCTGTAATTGAAGGGTATTAATAAAATACATTGAAGATGGAAATTTCATCCCATGTGCATGTGTACACTATGATATATGCCAGGAACTTTCAGCTCCGATTGCCAAAAAGGGCCACGATGCCTTGTCATAACAAAACGATGCCTCGTCATAACAACACGATGCCTCAAACACAGCCCGTTCTGTTTATGTTTATCCTCGTATTCTTCTTCAGTGTCAAGCTTTAATTACGTCGTAGCACGACGGCGGTATCGTCAGGGCTTTCCAGATTGGTGGGTACGACGAATTATTTTAAATATACTAGGTTCAGTTACACTAAATTATTTGTGCGAATTTGGGGTTGTAACGAAAGAAACAGGTGCGGCGGATAATGTTGTTCGCAAAACCGTGTTGATATTGCCGCGCGCAGGACTTGCAGAAGGTTCTCGTTTATTCTTGCTGCGAACATAACTTCTATCGTTTATACCTGCTTTTGTTGTTCTAGAAAGTGCGTGTTCATTCTCGCCCCAAGCGCGCTACGCTCGAACCTTCCCCGCCGAATCTTCGAGATAGTGACTCAATCTAGATAAGAGGCCGCCCGCGACCTTGTCGAGTCAGTTTCGCCTCAGCGTTCGATCCTGCTGCTTCGCCGCCTTCGATGCCCGCGACGCTCTGCTGTTATCTTTCGTTTTCATTTTGTTTTTGGGCACAAGTTCGGCCCATTAAAAGTTCAGTTTACTCAGTTATTCACCGCCTCATCACTTGTCATTCGTGACAATATCTGCATATCACTAGACCAAACGCTTCAAAACGCATGTGAAACAAATATATATACGGATCCGGCAGAAAAATCGTCACTTTGTTCGTGCCCAGGTTTACGACCCCCTATAAAATTCTGCCCAAGTAAAAAAAAAAAAAAAAAAGAAGAAATATTTGTTCGTTATGTTTGCTCACCTTCCACATCCTCAATGACTGGCGGTTCACCATCGATTTCTGTAATTGAAGAGTAATAATAAATACACTGAAGATGGAAACCTTGTTGAATAAACATGAGCCCATATACATGGGCATCAGGCACGTAGCCAGGGGGGGGGGGGGGGGGGGGGATGGGGGATGGGGAGGGGAGGGGAGGGGAGGGGGGGCGGCGGCGGTGGTGGCATGGGGCCCGGCCGAAATCTTTCATTTTGCCGGGGCCTTCTCTCCCCCCTCCTCATCATACAGCAGTTTCTCACGGGCAACAACCCCCCCCCCCCCCCCCCCCCCCCACCCCCGATCAAAATCCTGGCTACGTGCGTGATGTGTACACAATGATCGATGCCATGAACTTTCAGCTGCGATTGATAAAAACGCCACCAAGCCATGCCAAAAAAAAAGATAAAAAAATAGTGATTTTCGTTTGTTTTATTGTTTGCTTACCTTCCTCATCATCAATGACATGTGGTTCACTGTCGGTTTCTGTAATTGAAGGGTATTAATAAAATACACTGAAGATGGAAATTTCATCCCATGTGCATGTGTACACTATGATATATGCCAGGAACTTTCAGCTCCGATTGCCAAAAGGGCCACGATGCCTTGTCAGAGCAACACGATGCCTCAAACACAGCCCGTTCGGTTTATGTTTATCCTCGTATTCTTCTTCATTGTCAAGCTTTAATTACGTCGTAGCATGACGGCGGTATCGTCAGGGCTTTCCGGATTGGTAGGTACAACGAATTATTTTCAATATACTAGATTCAGTTACACTAATTTATTTTTGCGAATTTGGGGTTGTAACGAAAGAAACAGGTGCGGCGGATAATGTTGTTCGCAAAACCGTGTTGACATCTGCATATCACTAGACCAAACGCTTCAAAACGCAAGTCAAACAAATATATATACAGATCCGGCTCAGAAATCGTCACTTCTACGTGCCCAGCTTTACAGCTTCCTAATAAAATCTGCTCAATGCAAAAAAAAAAAAAAGAAAAAAAAAAGAAAAGAAAAGAAAACAAAAGATTTTTGTTTGTCTTTATATTTGCTTACCTTCGGCATCCTCAATGACAGGCGGTTCTATATTGGTTGCTGTAATTGAAGGGTAATAATAAAATACACTGAAGGATGGAAATTTAAGTTAATGATTTATGCCACGAACTTTCAGCTGCGATTAACAAAACCGCCACGATGCCTTGTCAGAACCTTCATTGAACGTTCTTGCGTATAATGTGGTGGCACGCAGTCTTGATGCGACGGAAGCCCGACATTAAAGTCAGCTATAGGTAATATTAATGACGTAACATTCTTGTTTTTTTTTTCCGCAGCCCGGTAGTATTTATTGACTGAAAGAAGAGGGGCTGCGATGTAATATCGTTCGTAGTAATGGTTCGTTATATCTGTTTCGTGGTTTTACGGCGCTGCACTGCGCATATAGGTCTGTCCTCCGCTTGCACAGTGTCAACATTAACCAGATAAAAAGCCGCGGTGCTGAACTCTCTACGTCACCTACCAAAGGCCAGCGTGGGGTAGATATCAGACACGAGTTTTATGTCAGCGTTCCGCTAGAACTTGCGATTCGTCGGTGAGAACGCGCGTCCCGGCTGAACGCTGGCAGAAGCTCTCGCTTCCCAAATATGACCCGCACTGGCTTTCGGCAGGTGACGTAAGAAATGAGCACTTCGGCCTCGCTATTTCTAGGGGACGTTCACAGTATGCAAAGTATTTCCTCCGAAAGGTCAAACACTTGTTATCCATCTTTTTGCCGTCGGCAGAAGTAATGCCAGGGGTGGAACGGCTGCGCCATTTTCGCCATTTTGCGCCAGACGCATGTGTCTGCGCCACCCTGCGCCATGTTGCAGAAACTGCGCCACAGCCAATACCTCGCGCCATTATACGCCAAATCGCAAGACGTGCGCCAAAAAACTTTTTATTTCGTCTTAGTTTCGGTTTCTATCGACTCGATTGGCAACAATGAGGGCGATTAGCCTGGTCGGCCTTGTAATCCTTTGTTTTGTTTATTCCCCCTGTCTATCCCGAGTCGGAAGCGCGCGAAAAAAACTCGGATTCTAAGCGCTACACCACCTACGACTGGATTGTTATTCTTCAACCATAAGCGGTAGGGCAAGTCGGCCGAGGTAAGGTCGAGTCGTTAAGCATCAGATTGCATGAGGCTCTGCGGCCCGGGATCCGGACGTCATCCAGTCGAAAGCAACTGAGCAAAAGATTCCTTTTAGTACTTCATCCTTAGGAGTTGGAACCGCATTCTCGCAAGATAAATCGTGATTCGATAGAACTGAAACCCGGTCCGATCCGAAACCTTGCCGGCCAGCAGCTCTTACCTTGCCGGCCGGCAGCTCTACTTATCTGCTCGGCGTACTTTAACCTTGCTCCTGCTTATCGCTTCAAATACGATAACTTCGTTAATCGTAGCCTGCTGCTTCGATACCGAGTTGCACAATAGGATAAACTCGAAATTTGTTGCCCTGCTCCTCCGTGCAACTGCACGTCCGTTGTTTACGCACGTCACGTGGTTCGCACATGTAATTACTATGTCAATCACGTGTGGGTTGTGCGATAAGCAGTGCTGGTTTGCATCTTGAACATCTGAAAGCCACTCAGAAAATATCAAGGACGCTATCTTCAGAAACATAGAGTACTTGCTTTTTGATTCTCATTAAGGCTCACAAAGTTTCAAGTTTTCGCATCTATTACACTGTTATCCCATCTACCTGGGTCCCTAACCACTGATGTTCATCTCTGCTCCTAAGCACAATTGAAATTGCTCCAGTGCTTGTCTAAGACACAAGCTGAAGTGCAATGCAAACTGATCTGAGCTGCTCCTAGCCTGCTCCAGAATGTAGTTTTAGCTGCTCCCAACCTGCTCTAAAACAGCTGTTTCAGCTGCTCCCGTGGCTGCTCCCAAGTACATTTCATGAGTTCCACCCCCTGTAATGCCAATACAAAAAAAAAAAAAAAAAAAAAAAAACGATTATTTTTATATTATTATAAATAACGTGTCATTCCTAAAATCCTCCTTTACCTCGTCTTTGAACCGAGCAAATGTCCAAAAGTATTTTTCAACGCGTGAAACCTTGGTTTGGCCGTGTTATGCTTACCATTCTTACGATCCTTCACGACCGTTGCAGTATCAGTAGTTTGATCTGGACAAGGATAACAAAATACAGTGAACCACGTGTACGAAATTTCTCTGTTGCTCTTCAGGCAGTAAGAAAAGGTAGCTGCCCTCTTGTTCCTCTATGTGCATTCACTCAAAGCTTGATCTGGCGCAATCGAAATTGTTGCCAACTCAAAAATAAACAGAAAAAGACACGAAATAAAACGAGTCTAATTTTGTTAAATGGGGAGAATTCGTCGTATTAATGAAGTAAATGCAAAGGTGCAGACGGAGCTGATTAAGAACTGGCATTATTAACCCTGGAGAGGTCGGGGAATAAGAGGGACAGTCGTCCTGTTTCCGTGCACTCTCCAGGGTTAAAAACATTGTCGTGTTAGATATTTTCTTTTTTTATCACGCAACATTACTTGACTTGTTTTGGGGTCGCGGGACTAAAATAAGTAATCTGTTGACCTATATGAACACAAAGTTACAGCTACACACGCATGCATCTGTTTTTGACCTCATACCCTCGCCTTCAGCATCAGCCAAATTCAATTCCTCATTGAGAACTCCTGCAACAGAAAAAGAACGATACAGTTCAGTGTAGTTCGGCAGTTGCATATCGCTTGAATTAGAATTAACCCAATTAAACTGCGGAGCAGTAACAACAGGAAGGAAGTGAACCAACTATACTACAGACCGTTTTCGTGTTACGGTTGCTATCTTGAAATATGACGTAGCTGGGTTAGGCGACAAGAACGAAAGTAGCAAGTCTGGGCGTAACTGCAATGGCCGACAAGGACAACTGTGAACAACAGGTCATGCCACCGAGCGATTAAGAAGAACGAGCGCTGCATTGCAGTTTGGCAGGGCGCTCGGATGTTCAACATCGGGTCCAATGACCGCGGACCGTCTGAGAATTACGAAAATGATTTTTCTGACCAAACTTTATTGCCCGGTCGGTATGGGAAGCTTTTCCCATACCGACCGGGTGCCCGATAAGAATTAGCAATACGGAATGAGGCTGTGCTTTAATTCCAGTTTTTTTTTTCTTGTGGGTTGCATCTTTTTTTCTTTTTTTTTATGCAGTGAGGAGTACATTTGATTATGAACGTTAGTCACGAAAAGTGACGCGGCGAAAAGGTTATCCAATGGGGTCGTTAAGTTCCTTCCTACTAATAAGTCCTTGCCTTCCGCAATGCTTGGGCGTTTCTTGGGCATGCTGAATTGGCACATTAAGTTTCGAACGTTTATAATGTGTGTGGAATTGTCTTATGAAATAAACGTGTCTTATTAAATACAATTTTTTGTGAACGATAAGGATCTCTTGTCTTTGTCGTTTATTTCAAGGGCGACTCTGCGTTATAAATCGACACTCATTTATACGGGTTAGTCTGCCGGCCTCTACCGATATCTCTTGTCTCCGATTGCGCAACCCTAACGTGGAATATCGGTTGAAGATTTGCCGCAAACAGCTGCGTTTGAAAGCAAGCGAAAGGTTCAAAAGTGCAGCAGCATCGAACACAAGCAGGTGAACGGTTTTTCGGTGTTTATGTAAAAGTAAAATCGGCTGGTGTTTCTCGGTGTTTAATAATTAAAAAAAAAAAAAAAAAAACGAAATTTGTATATTGGCGATTTGTATTACACGCACGTTAAAACATTGATTATTATTGGTGACCAAATTTGCCGATGAATACAAAAACAAGGTCATGAAAAACTAAGGGTTCAGCTTTAATTTATAGCTTGCATACTATCTAATAACGCTTCACGGTTACCGTAATGAGACAGTGCTTGCCGACGACAAACAACGAGTCAGAATACGTGTTAAAGTACGAGTACTCTTTGATGTAACCATCCGGAGTTTTTTTTTTATTTTCTTTTTATCCACTACCGCCCGCTTCTTTCTGTCGCAACATTTAACCGATAACGAAAGCCAGTGTAGTTTTGATCACTGTCGTCCAACTCTGACCTAAATAAAAACAAAGGCTTTGTGACAATTTGTGGTGACTGACCTAACCCTTATGCCACTGTCCTCTAGGTTCAGACGTGCGTCTGATTCAGAACGTACAGGGTGCTTGATCCAAGGTAAGATCATGCGCCAGAAGAATGTCCAAGAGAGGAGAGTTTCGACAAAGAATAGTCTTCAAACACACATAACCAGATTTTTTTTTAATTCTTTGTTTGTTTTAACCAATTTTTGTGTTTTAGACATTGGCTTATGCTTATCGGTGTTATTCAGTTAATCCGGAAAGTCTACGGCCTTAAAATAAGGAATGCAAACGTACCGTCGTGGAAAAAAACACACACACAAAAAAAACATGTTTTTAGTCAGCATAACCTTCACTAAGTTTGCTGCACAATATCCACCCTTTTGTATACTTTGACATCCGTTGCTGATTTTTATGAGAAATTCTTATGTTGACCGACCATCCACGGTGACATTACCGCGTTGTGTAGATGGCAGAAGTATAGAAACAACATGCAATATTTGGTAACACCTTACCTTGGAGCGCTAATGCGCATACGAAAAGGAATGCAGTCGCTCTCATCATCAGCTGCTGTGTGTACTGGCCGCCAATTGTTCTGCTACGGAGCTTATAAAGCTCACAAACGACATTGTAGCGCTCGTATTTCCTCTTACCCTTTGTTACACTATGTGGACAATGTGAATAATGTTTTTTATTGGTTATTTTTGTTTCACGGCAGGCACGTAGCCAGGATTTTGTTTCGCGGGGGGCCCGCCCATGACAAAATGCTGTACGAGGGGGAGGGGGGAGAGGAGGTCCCAGCGAAATTGACGATCCCCCCCCCTGGCTACGTGCCTGTTTCACGGACAGATACATACTTAGAATAATTAATTGTAAAGTGTATGGGGAATAGAATAAATATACGCGTGAAGAAGCGAAAAAAAAAAGTGGCAATTAATGTTTAGGCTCCCGACAAACTCCTATGAACGGAAATTCGATTGAGGTTTGCCATTAGACGAGGCTCCAGCGGAAGCATTGTTCGCTAAATTTAGCGGGAAAAGTTTGTACGCTTCGTCCGTGACGTTATACCTCTTTTTCAGAAAAGGCTATAGTCCTCCGCCTAAATTGATGAGTAAGTTAAAGTCGATTTACGTTGCATCTTTCCCGTATAAGACGGTCAGGGTTAAAAAGCGATTAAGGGAACCATGGGTTACCCCAAATATTTAACAATGATACGGGAAAAAGAATCCCTCGCGAGAGATGACCGTGATATTACTGCCTTCAAGAAATATCGTAATCAACTTACATCCGCACTTAAAAAGGCAAAGTCAAATTATCACAAACGTCTTTTTCATCACATGCACAAAAAGCGCCCCGCAGTTGTATGGCAGTCTATAAACGAAGTTGTTCAACGCAGCAATCAAAAGAAACCGATAGATGCGCTTTCCATATCTGGTGAAGGAGTGTCAGGAATACAGCGCTCCGTATTTTAACCGCCACCTCGCCAGCTTACGTTCCAGCACACTCAGTGAGTGTGCTTCCCCGTTTATCTCGAGTCGAGTAGGCGACTCTCTTTCTGGCCTCTAGGGACGAATCAGCAGTGTTTAGTGTATTTACGGGACTTAGTAATACCAGAAGTCACGACATTGATGGCATGCAAATAAAGACCGCTAAATTTATAATTGCCCCACCCTATTGAAAATTCTCATTTGTATGAGAACTTTCTGTGTCCAATAAACACATATGGATCATACAAGATATATAATAACATATAAGAACCGTATAAGAACTATATAAGAACTATATAAGATATATAAGAACATACAAGCACCATATAAGAAACTAGTGGGAAGTTTCTTATAAGTTTCTTATGGGGTTCTTATATATCTTATATAATTCTTATATACTTCTCATATAATTCTTATATGGTTCTTATGGGTCCTTATATGTTCTTATATATCTTGTATGATTCATATGTGTTTATTGGACACAAGAAATTTCTCATACAAATGATTTTTTTTGCTAGGGCAGTGTTGGTGTACACATTTAACCTTGGCCTCGTCAGCTGGCAAGTTCCCAAATTCCATGAAACTCGCAAAGGTTTCCGTTTTGCATAAGGGAGGTGACAGAAATGTAGTTACAAATTATGAACCTGTACTACCCATGTTTTCTAAAAGGCCAGAAAAAACTATTTTGCGTCGTTTCTACGACTTTTTTATGTTGCACATTCAATGTTAACTAACTTTCAGATTCGTTTCCGCAAGGGGGGGGGGGGGGGGGAGTCTACAGAATGTGCTTTGTTATTTAAAAATAATATTAAGAAATACAGAGAAAAAACTGTTGAAACTTGACAGTGGTAGTTTTTTTTTTATCGGCTTTAGCCAAGCTTTCGATTATCTTAACCATACAACGCTCATTGATAACCTTTCCAATCATTGTGTACGGGGCACGTCTTTATGACTTATTCACTCATACCTAGAGTATCGCAAGCCGTGTGTCTTAATAAAGGGCTATATTTCTTCGTTGCGCTATGAAGTCTGGTGTTTCATAGGGCAGTATACTTGGCCCACTTTTCTTCAATGTGCATATTAATGACATCGTCAACATCTGTCAACGCTCACGTTTCATAATGTATGCCGATGATTCTAGTATTTTCTTTACTGCGATGAATATTGATGAACTGATAACTAAAGGTAATGCTGTCTTGTGGAAGTTTCTTTGTGATCAGAACAAAACGGCCTTGAAATAAGTACTACTGAAACGAAAGCGATTGTTTTTTAGACCAGTGAATGAACATTGATACTAATTAGGCGCTTAAAATTGGTAGCACCCAGATTGAAATGGTAAGCCATCATAAAACGCTACGCGTAAATTTTTCGAAGTATATGCAATGGGATCATCGTATAGAATTCCTAATTCACAAAATTGTCAAAGGTAGCTGGCATTATCGGTCACTGTCGCTCCCTTTTACCTACAAAAGGAAAGATTCAAATTTATCATGCTCTGTTTGGCTCAGAGAGATTAACTACTGCCATTTAGTGTGGGGCACAACGACAAAAGCTAATATCAACAAACTAATGAGTCTTCAGACAAACAATGCTCCGTTTTATTGCAAATGTTCCATACGCCACATGCCGAACCACGATTTTGAGCTACAGTGTCTTGAACATTTTCAGTGTTTATGACTATCGTTTGTTATTTGCTTACGCCTTTTCAACTTTGGAGTTTATTACTTTTTTTATGGATCTAGCGAATTTGATTAAACGTGAATAAATCATCGATGTTCGTCAAAGAGAATTTTGTAACGTTCCTCATTTCCGTACAAAATTATGCACTGCAGTCTCTTACTCATAACCTACCTACACTGGTTAACAACATTTGGATGAACCGCACTAAAATTAATTTTATAAATAAATAAAAAAAAAATACAGTGCGCACTTTTTTGTTTTGAGTAGGTAAATAGGCTAGCTTCGGTGGGAATTTTCTAGAAATGTTTTCAATTGTTTTGGTAGAAATTTGTATGAAATTTGTTCAGTTCTTTTGTATAATTATTAGGAAGGGTTAAATATAATTGTTTTTTATTCATGCATTTCGTGTACGTGCAAGGGCGCCGGACGCAGTTAAGCTAACTCTTGGTAGCTTTTCCCCCCTGTGCCATCGGCATAACGTTGCTGAAAATAAAGTTTAAAGTTCAAAAACGGAATCTTTGTTAAAATATATTAGGATACAGTTTAAAAATTATTCTAGAAGTAATTCGTCGCCATCAATTTTTTTTAACGGTATATTGTTTCACCATCGTTCCTCTCGTGGGACAACACGCTTCTGATCCTGTTTCGGATTAAATTAAGACATTATATCGATCCGCTACATTGCGATCCGCGGCTATTGAATGCATTGAATGCTCAAATCGGGATGTGACTCAGCGCCTCTTCCCTTCCCCCTTCTCTTGTGTATCAAATCCGATAACAACCTGATAAAAAAGAAAAAGAACAGGAAGGCATTCACCACATGTGAGACGCGAAGCATTGTACTTTGGAAGACGTGCGTGAAATGAAAGGTGACTTTTCCTGCTTAAAGGTCATTTCGCGAGTTCCGTGTACGTTTATTCAACTGCGGGGGACCTTTGAATCGGAGGAAGCAAGAACGGCAAGTGAGAATTCACCTTGAGGTACCGTCTCAAGGAGCTCCAACGTAGATTCAAAAGATTTCCGACACTGACGTCAAGAAAAGGCCGCGTAGCGCGCCGCCTAGAGCCAATGATTGTTTCCACACCGCTGGAACCTGCAAGCTTTTTTTTTTTTCAGCACCGCGACGCCGTACTGTGATCGATGACAACTAAATGTCGGTTCTTTGTAATTGATTTCCCATACATTGTAAACGGATTAGTAATTGGTTTCCTATACATTGCGTTATTGCATGTTGCCCATAGCAGACACCAGAGCAGCTTTGGATTCCTGCCGCAGAAGGGTTGGTTATCGGGGATTGAAAGTGCCACCAGATCGTTCGATCGACGCCTCTCAGAGCTGAAGGGGTGTTCCTTCAGTGTCGCTGGTTACTTTTAATGTTGTGTATATTTGTTTTATCTAACACGTTGTTTTTTGCATTCGTCGCGGACGTTTACAAATTCTCTTTCTGACAGGTCTTGATCCCAGGTTTAATGCTGCTAGCTGGAGCGCTCTTATTATTTTTGTTTGTCCTTGGCAAAGCGCAGTGAAGATGCTCATTTTTGGCTCACCAATGTCTTAAATTTACAACATATATTTCTCAAACTTCTCTTGTGAATAATATTTCAAAGAAACAATCATCGCCGTACTTTGTTGGAAAACAGTCAATCGCACCATTGTTGTCCGGATGTTCTCCCTCAAAGGGCAACTCCGCTCCAATTCCGAAAAATTTAGGCTTACATGTGATTCCATTTCACAAAGCGCTACTGAACAGCTCTACGTCTTCGGATTCGCGAAATATGGAATATTATTTGTGTAATCCTAATTTAAACATCAGCTGATACCGAAACCGAAACTTCGGCTGAGTCAGGCAACATTGGTCTCGTGTCGTCAGAGTCATGGCCACGTCACGTCGAGCCACGTGGTCTTGTGACGCTCGGGGGGGGGGGGGGGGGGGGGGGGGGGCGAGGGACAGGACACGCGACGCGGGCAGGTCGCTTCGCATGGCTTGGACGGTGATGGCCCGGGAGAGAGGGGGAAGGGGAGAAGACGAAAGAGGAGAAGGGGAGTGGAGAAACAGACCGATAAGCGCGCAGGGCAGCGCAAACTAGCGCATCCGCGTTAAGGTGATCACGTGGACGTCGTTCAGCCAACACCGGGACGAGAAACTCATGACGTCATCATTCAATTTCGCTCTGAGAAGTAAAAACAAACAAAACGTGAGAATGACGTAGACATGCCTCTGACGTAGTGGCTCAACGTTGGCCGCTCCAACTCCGTCGCATTGATTGTGCTGACGATTCCGCCTCACGTTGCACGCTAGAGTTGGCAGACTTCGGCGACTTGGCTCACTTGAAGGTTTGCTGGCCAGTTTATTAAATATATAGACGGAATTAGATCGTAATATTTGACATTGGGTCTTCCTATATGATAC